ACTCACTTAAAACCGGCCAAAGGTGATAGCGGGGCCGAAAAACCACCGAGTGGCGTCATGAAGCAGGCCACATCGCGGGTGTGTTGGTCGTGCAGCAGGCGGTCCGGCGCCACGCGTATGCCCGGCGGCGTGCCCTCGGGGATGGTCCAGGTGAAGAAGGACGGGCGCTGAGACTCGCGAGGAAATTCACCTGGGACCATTGACAGTGCGATCTAGACGGATCAAATGCCACATTTGCAGATATAGACAAACATAATTATCACTGAACCACTGAATAAAAACAAATCAACAAACGTATATATGTATGGTATGTGCTTGCATATGCACATTCATATTTGAATGTGAAACAATAATCATATCGTAGTTCGGGAACCCCATCATTTCCGACCGCCACTTGATCTTCTCCATACTATACTTCAAAACATGGAAACTAAAAGGACAAACATCTGCTGGAACTGAACCAAACAAAAACGCCTTCTTTTGGGCGTTCCCTGCCGAGTTGGCCTTCGCTGCTAGAGTCAAATAGTCTACGGATCCGGGCAAACCAAATGGGCAGGTGGGCCAATGTTGCTAGCAAATGCTGGCAGCTGCAAGCGTGTTCCCATGTTCCCCAAAGCAAACACATGGCGAAGCGTCTGCCCCTTGAAATCCTCGACTTGTGGACCATTTTAGAAATCTTTAAGGGAGAGTGCTGCATCCGAAGAAAGGCTGGCTCGTGGCTTTTTTAGGCGCCAAGTGACTGAGCGTTGGCTCCACCAAAAGCTCGACTTCCTGAGTGAAAGCTGTGGTCTCTCAACCCTAAACTTGGATCCAACCCACGTCCCCCTGCTTCCCCAAAAGGCCTTATCAACGCCTGTAACAAAATCAAGGGGGAGGGGGTGTTGGATCTTATGAAATGTGCTTGCAGAAATGGGAGCTGAGTTGCAAGAGACAAACGCTCGACCATGAATTCCTGGGAGAGGTTCTCCTATTTATTACTCCATTGTATTGCCTTGGCCCTTTCCACAACTATGGTGTTGGGCACTGCGTTCTACACGCAATGGCACCTAGGATTATGTAGTCGAGCCACTAGAAAGCTTGTTCACACCGGACGAACACACAACCACAAAGTCATGTCAGTTGAAACTCTGAACGGGCATGTAGCAAAGACAGGCCTTCAGCGTAAAATTGAATGTGAGCGGTCAAGGTTGATCATTGAGACACTGATTGCGGGACTCGGCCACTTGGGCCTGCCTGAACAAACTGTCAAAGGGGTTGTGTGTGTCCCTCTCTTGGGCCTTGCGTGGCACAGCTTCCCTTTCTCAGTTTCAGCTACATCTGGAAGTCTGCTAATTAACCCACCCTTTCATCATGGCCTACAAAGAACACAAGAGGATGACTTCAGATCGGGCTTATGAGGTCGGGAAATAGTTGGGGACCATGAACAGAAGCATAACTTGAAAACCAAAAGGGCAGAAGGCTTGGACCGAGCCCTGCCAGTGGAGAACTCAGCAACTTGCGCCCTGCCCTTCGCCGCCCTGCGCTATCCGCCACTCAATCTCAACATAAATGCCGGATGTCGTCCACAAATCCCTATGCACGGGCTCCGTTTGAATGTTGGAGGAAGGCACCCTAGGGCACTAGGACAAGATGGGCCCACATTGTTCACTTCGCTCAGGCTAAGGGAAGCGGTTTGCTTTTTCCAATCGAGATGAGCGTGTAGCCATCCTAGCACATCCCGACTGAAGATGGCCTACTCCATCCCATGCAAAGTCACCGAAACGTTAAAAAAAAAAAAAACCTTTGCCCCGATCGCACTTGTTGAAGAGCTTGAGGTGGTGAATTCGTGAATTCTCAGGCCACATCGGGGTGCGCAGGACCATTTGCGAAAAAACCGCGCCAAAAATGCCTGGCTTTCCTGAAGCATCTGGTTGAACAGCGCCAACCCCTTGCGGTTTCCTTTGGGTGAGAATAAGCATATGAGCCTCTTGCGAGGCCCCACGAGTTCTGCCAAGCGTCTGGTTTCACAGGCGGCTGCACTATCAAGAAAACCATGGAGCCCAATCGGTAAATTGCACGTAGACATCAATACACATGTGTGCATACATGTGTATATATATATATACATATTCTGAACAGCCATAGGTATGCACGTGCAAATGTTCACAAAGACCTCCGCAAAGGGAACAAACCTGCCCCTGCAAAGCGCTCTTCTTGACCTACCGTGACAGGGACAGCTCTCAAGCGTCCTTGAGATGTGATTGCGGAGGCGGATGAGGCGATTCAACAAAGGCCTGTGCTTGTGGCTGCTCAACAAGGGCACAAAGTAGACCTTACAAACCTAGTGTGTTGATACTGGTTTTAGCATTTCCTTTGCCTTTGGCTCCCTTGCTGAAGCGGAACAACTCACCATAACTCACCCAATTCTTTCGACTGGGCCACTCACAATGGTTTCAGAAGGCAGCGCCCAACATGCCGGTAGAGAGGTCAATTTTGGCAAGGGTCCACCATGTTGCAGTGGAGCTCACTCTTGTTGCCCACGCAACTGATATCCCAACAAAACTTCAAAGTCCACTGACTGGATAAGTCAGAAACAGGTCCTGTTGATGCTTCATACGTTGCAATCTCTTGGCAACTCTGCCCAGCTTCAACCCCCAATGGTCCGTTGTTTATTTGCTTTGAAAGACGGATCCCCTTGAAAGGGCTGAAACTCTACCAGGAAAATTCAAGCCCGACCCAGGCCACCAACCCCGAAAGATTTCAGGGGGAGAGCTGCTTCCAAGCGAAACTGCCAAGACATGCAGGGGATTTGCCTGAGTCAAACTTCAACTTGAGCAAAACATGTTTTTCTCATTATCCGGTTCCAAGGACCAGTGATGCACAGACTTTTACACCTTTGATCCTTGATTTAAGCGTGGAACCTCTTTGCTGTTTGCCTCTGAGGGGAGCGTGAGGGTCCGAAGGAACCTACCAAGCTCTCAGCATGGAAGACCAAGCCATCGGCTGGCTGGGAGAAATCCGCAATGCTTTCTCAGGGAATGTTTGGCCTTGCCCTGTTCTCACCTGCCCTTCGGGGGAAGGCAACAATTTAACCTCTGAGCAGGTGAACTTCCGACTCAGGGAGCATTGGATTTGTCGTGTCAATGGCAAGAGGGGGCGTTGGGGGTGGCTTCGCATCAGTCTTTTCAAGCGGGCCGGGCACCATGACAACGAAATACCTTAGCCACCAGAAGCACCCCTGAGTGTCCCCGCTGCAAAGCAGCAAACAATATCGCGAAACAAAAGCAAGACATGTAGCAACTGCGCTCCCTATCACGAAAGTAGTTCGAGGGGTTTCGTCTTAGCCCGGACTCGGACTGTCATCTTCAAAACCACCTCTACGCTTCTACGATCGGCAAGCGAAGCTGGCTCCTCGCTGCAGCGAGATCCTCCAACTTCTTCTTCAGCTGTTTGTAGGGCAGGTATTGCCCTGCGGGGCTTTCAAGTGCGGGGCTCGTCTTTCACACATGCCCCTCAAATGAACAGGAAACCCTTCAAACGGAAGGTAGATCCCTCAAAATGATGGCTCGTGAAGGTCCATCTCAATCTGGGGGGAATATACTCCACTTGTGACTGAACATGTCTGTGACAAACATGTGCAAGCATTTTGTGACACTTGGCAGACTTTCTACTAACATCTGGTCTCCTCATGGCTTGCCCAACGAAAGTGTCAGATCGTGTATGCCAACAGTCTGCTCCTCACCTCCGGTGAGAGCCTCTTAACTTAAGCTCATTCCAATTCAACTGCGTGCGGGGGGGGATCGAAAGAAAGTCCTTGCACTCGCGACAACCTGCCATCGGTTCTCCAGGACTAGCACAGGGCATGGGGTTTCTGAGATGGCCTCTTTACACATCAACCCAGACAACACTCGGCCAACATGGGCGATTCAATGAACTTACAAGGATCCCTGCGTGACTTCACCCTCCATGCCCTCGCAGTCCTTTCCACTCTGGCAGCTCATACCTCGGGCCGAAATGTTTCGAGTGCCCAGGATTCGCGGGCGTGACAGGTCCAAGCTGACAAGTGAACCCCTGCACTCTGAACACTTCATGTAGTATCCCGCCATAATAGGCAAAGGAACCGAAATTCAAAAGGAGCAAGTTTGTGAGAAGAGAGGTACTTGCCTTTGTTCCATGGGGTTCTGGAGGCTCGAAAGCAGCGAGGACCCTAATTTTGGGAGAAAAAAAGGTCCAGTGGAGAGGGCAGATCTGGCTCATCTGGCACATTGCCGGGCAAACCATTACATGTTGCAAGGCCAGGTTGCTCCAAACCTTCCAGCATGAGGGTAGATGATTTTTCCCTGAAGAGAAACCACTCAGTCCCTTACAGCCAATTGGCGAGCAAGACAACTCTAGCCCTTCAAGAGTTGGCTGTAGAAGCAATTGGCTGAATGCATGAACCCATATAAAACCCCGAGTTGTTTATCGCTTCCTCGTGTCAAAGTCGGGTGAACCCGGAACCAATTTTTGAGGTCCCCCACTCCTCGAGCTGCTTCCCGAACTTCATCTGGCGCCTGGGGCTCCCAAGTTTCGACTAGAGGGAAAAAGGGGTGCAATCGGGGCAAGGCTCTTCGCTCTGAAAAGCACCAGTATGGGTCATAAATGGTGGTGGCAGCCCAACATCAAAACGTCCGCTTGCCCAAGCTTTCTGGAGCCGATGTAGACATGCCCTACTTGAAAGCTGTTTGACCGTGTCAGCTCAAGCTTCACCTTGCGCTTTTAGGGTTGTAACTCAAGATGTGACTGCAATCTTCGGCTTGCAGGTATCAGGCTGGCGCGTGGGTCAACCAGGCTCTGAGACCAAGCTTCCCACCAGCCGTCTGTCGCGAGTCTTTGGTACGTACATTAATTTGCCTGTACCGGCGAACGTTGCAAAGGTTTTGGGGACTCAATTGAGGAGTCCACTAAGTACTTGCCTTTGAAAGGATCATGGAAGCCTTTCCTAGAGTATCAGACTTTGCCAACATCTGCGAATGAGACCACGCATGACCACACTTCCTTTGCGAGACTGGGCATGGTGTGCCCGTCTGCCTGTAGCTCCGAGAGGGGCTCTGCTCGTCATGGGCCAGGGCGCATGCCGTGCAGAAAAGCGAAGTTGGCACTGTGCTGGTCTTACTCGTTTCCTGGCTCTGCTTCAGCATGTCTGACACGGTTCTTTCCAAGTCCCATCAGTGCCAACTCCTAACTTCCTTGGTTCAGGTTATGCTCAGGCTATGGTGCATTGCAAGGGCCAGTGCAACATGTCAGTCTTTTCAGCTTTTTGCTTGCGCTCTCTCACTATTTCGGTTTGGCATCCTCGCCTCAAAACAAGGTGTGAATAATCACATTGACCGAACATATTCTATTCAGGCGGATGCAACCTGAAGAACTCCTACATGCATGTACAGCAACACGTTACTTTGACATGTCCTTTGTTTTGCTGTAGAATTCCCTTGAATCTAGGACCATCGCTCTTGTTTGGTCCTTGTCCTTACCATGTTTCTGCTGGAGCCGTAAGAGTCGTCACGCCGGCCAAAGGCAAAGGCATGAATGCAACTGATCTTCAAAGGCATGACGGCTGGCATCCTGAAGCTGCAGGCTCTCTCAAAGGCCATTGGCGGCTTTGCCGCATTTTCGGCTCAGGGGACCTCGTTTCGGTTTTTCCCAAAACTCCTGTTGGGTAGCTCACGGGCACTGAGCTCATGTGGGGGTATGAAAACGAGGTGTTTCGGGGCCTTCTGGGCACGTCCAGAAGGTTCATGAATTGGCAAGGTCGGTCAACAACGCACACATACCCGTTCAAGCCCCTGGTACTCGTTACAAAAAGTGGCTTTGTCAGGGTGCGGCCAGTTTATTGAGCCAAGAAGATGCATTCTGCAAGCAACCAACCAACCAAAGGCATAGATGATGCTCCTGGTTGCATTCCAAATGTGGTTCTTCGCCAACATCTCGAAGCGCATCATCCCACCCATGCCCAAGCCAGAAATGGACAAACAGTACGCATGTAACGGAGGCAACACAACCAAAGGCCTGGCCCAAGTCCACGCAGCTCAGCAAGTACGGCACAAGTCAATGAAATGCTCGACAAAGGTAGGCTTGCAATTGTGCCACCAAGGCTTAATATGGTTGGCCAAGCTAAGTGCCCATCAAAATGGAATGTCTCACCCTCGCACGTCACGATCCGGATCCGGTCACCACACTCACAGTGTAGCAAATGAACTGGCCCAAGCTCTTCATGACCATTACGCAGTGAACCAAACCACTGCATCCACCTTCCGAGCACGTGATAATGTGAGGTCTACATAAAATATCATAGAATTTCTGGAGCGCGCGCCAGCCACCTGGAGCCCCTCCCCTCTCCCCCTTGGGTGCAGCACCGGGTCTGGGAAGCTTGTGCGATGTCGTCTTGGGTGCCACAGCCGGCCACCAAGGCGCCCTCGGGAGCACAAGCTTTCCATGTTCAACCGGGAAACCCTAAAAGTGCCACCTTCCGGACCTTCCGGACCTTCCGGTCCATGCAACCCACCGGATAGAGGGTTTGTTGAAGAGGAACCTAGTCTGCTAGGCCTCCCCCAGATTCCGAGTCGGTGGAGGGTGGTGTCCCTTTTGCTCTTGGTTGCCTTTCTTTGGTGTCCCGCAAAAGAAAAAATAAGAAAAACTAATGTTGGGTCTACGAAAAAGAACAACCCCCGAAGGGCTCCCAAAGATTGAGGTGTTGACGAGATAATTGCCATTTTTCAATCGGGAAACCAAACGAAAGGAACACACGAGAGGAAGTGTTGCTGGCAGATTTCCTATTTTGAGACAACCCATTTCACCAACCTGAGCTAAGGAATACCTTCATCACACGTAAGCGTGTTTTAGCAGTTGTTTTGGTTGCTGTAGTCTCTGAAGGCCATGCTGGTCCTGCCACCTCGACAAGCTAGAAACCAGATTGGGTCACTTTAGCCAGCAGGAAGGTGCAAACAACTGGCTTCAAGTCTGGGTCATTTGGACCGTAAATGCCTGGCAACATCAAATTAAAACAAAAGAAGCTGTCCCTCGCGCTTTCCTCTAGGACAAGCGAAGGAAAAAGGGTGCATATTTAACGAGATGCATTGCGGCAAATCAACAAGTTCATTGTTCACACAAACATGCACGGGTCTTTTTATGTAAGCGAATGTGCATACGTAAGTGCCAGTCTGCACACCGTTTTTCAAACATCTCCAGCTGGGTTCCATGTCCAGTGTTGGTTGGTGTTTTCATATTTCCAGCCAGCAGCCCATTGCTGTAGAACAACGTCATGCTCAACAAGCTGGGGCGGAGTCGGGAACCCTGATGCTTGCTGTCGACTATAAAACAGCACCCGAACAACCATCAACCCGCCGCAGGGTCACAACCTCATCAACCGACGCAAGCAACAACCAATCGACCGAGGAACCAGTCATAGGGGGATCTGGATTTGGGTAAAGGACACCCCTCAGGCCCATGTTTGTTTGGAGTACTCAGTAACCCCAAGCGGCTTCCTGCCTGCACGGTGCCGTTCTTGCTTGGCACCTGAGCCAGCGAGAAAGTGGGAAAGCGAGAGGCCGGCCATTCCAGGGAAGGGCTTGCCCTCCAAGACGACCCCGTAGGAAAGTAGAACCGCTTAAAAGATCCCGGCCCTACCATCACCTTCTTGATGGGTAAAATCGGGTGGTTGTTTCATGACCAATCTAGCGAAGCTCCCAGATCTGCTCCTTGGGAGGGCAGGCAAGCGCCGCTGAGGATATCCAAAACTAGAAAGAGGACTCCCAAGCTGGTTCTTATTGCTGAAGCCAAAGGGAAATCAATTGACATTCCTGGGCGTCGGTCAAAGAAGCTCACATGTTCGTTGTTAGACTGACAGCTACTTGGACCGTCGTTTTTCGACGCAACTGCATTTGGGCGTTCTGAAGTAGGGCACGTGCAGGAATGGGGGTGCTTGACGCGAATGCTTGGCTGATTGTCGTTGACTTTGCAAACAACATGATATCACGTGCGTTTACACCAATATTATGTGAATACAATATTGTCGCGCAATAAGCACATGCAACGTCGTGCAACGTCTTGCATTTGATAGTCCGTTCAGAGTTGTATGTCTAAAAGGTGTTTGCAAGGATGCTCCGAGCTGCGTTCAAACACCCAGCTTGCCCACCCCGGACCCCAACGGGAGCATCGACGGCATATGCTGGCTTCAACATGAGTACAGCAGTGAATCATAGGTTGTATGTATCACCCTTTCTGTGATTTCAAGGTTGGCAATCCCATGTCTCATACATCACTTCACAGCGAATTGCGTCGGTATCACTCAAAACGGCACTGCAAAGCAAATCATTTTCTACAATGAGCTCCTTGAACCCACACAAAAACCGCGCGGGGGCCACAGAAAACCAGCAGTTCCCCAAAGTCGCAGCTTTTGATCCAAGCCGTCAGCCTCGACCAGCCAATCTGTCAGAGTGAGTCCGGTGCCGTCGAGCTATTCTGTTTTAGTCACTCCGCTCACCAAACTGCTTTTATTCATTTTGAATAATATAGACATATATATATATGTATATATATATATATGTATATTGTATACATATAATATGTAAGCGTGGGAACTTGGAGCACATTCTCCCCAAATCTGGATTCGTCCAAAACTCTCATTACTCTCAACTTTGGGCAACCCAGGACTTCTCTCCGACCCGTTGCTGGGAGCTGTCAGTTTGCCTACCGCGAACTGAGCTACACCTGTGCAACTGCACAATCTGCCCCATGGGTGCGCTCAAACTCCAAAGCGGGTTGGTCACACCTTGCTACGAGTAACGAACTGATTCCTAATTACACCGGAGGGGCCCGAGGGGTTTGGAAAACTTAGCAGTTCTCAAACCGCGTCGTGGCTTTCATGAAACCGACCGACCATCCTCGCCAAGTCTGAGCACCCGGGAACCAGCACAACTCTCTGATCCACGTGGCAGCCGGGTCCGGACTGTCGCTGATTTCACGGCCGTGGAACGACTTAGCTGGCAGGCGGCAGCAAGCCTAGCGCATCGCCAGCAAACCAAGCCTCTTTCTGGAAACAACTGAAAATCCTGTAAGGCATTTTGATATGGGAACCTGGGCCTGGTTGTTTGGAACTAGAGCCGAAACAAATTGTACTGATTCTAAAATCATGTTTTTTACTGAACAGAGGTGATCTATAAGTCATTGACACTCCCTGCATATATGCATCTGAAAAGAAATGCATGTCACTGGTTGCCAAATAGTGGCTTTGGAACAAATCCTCCAATATCCATCCCCGATTTGCTTGCCTTGCTTGCCTTGCGGCGAACTGAAACGTATTTTTCTAGCCCCTGGCTATGTCAAAAAAAGGGACTGGTGGCACGGCATTCCTGTTGTTTCCCAGCAAGCGGAAGTACCCTCAAAAACCACCCGCCCACCTACGTTCGCAGGACACAAATGGCACGGTAAGCTTCCCCGCGCCTGGCGCACGCACGCGGGCCTTGGCCTCCAAATAGCCCTGGGCTGCCGCCGCACGGAACCAATGCCTCCGCTGGATTCGGCTCAGAAAAGGCAGCGAAACCCAAAAAGGGCAATCCAGCAAGTGAGCCTGAAAAGTAGGAATGTTGGGAAAAATTCCCAGCGGCGTGACCCAACTATCTCAAGATACTCCGCTGTTGGAACCTATACGTGCGTACGTGCATGCGTGCGCGCTTGTGTGCGTGGGTGTGCGTGCGTGCGTGCGTGTGTGCGTCTGCGTGCGCGTGCGCGTGTGCGTGCGCGTGTGCGCGTGCGTGCGCGGGCGCGGGCGCGGGTGGCGGGCGGCGGCGCGGGCCGGGCGCGGCGCGGCCGCGGGCGCGGGCCGGCGCGGCGGCGCGGGCGCGGGTGCGGCGGGTGCGGGTGCGGGTGCGGGGCGGGTGCGGGTGGCGGTTCGGTGCGTGCGCGTGAGCGCGGGCCAGGTGTGGTGCGGTGCGGGTGGTGGGGGCGCGCGCGCGCGTCGTGCGTGTCGTGTGTGGGTGGGTGTGCGGGGCGCGGCGCGGGCGCGGGCGCGGGTGCGGCGCGGTGCAGGTGCAGGTGCCGCGCGGGCAGCGGGCGCGGGTGCGGTGCGAGTGGGTGCGGGTCGGTGCGTGCGTTTGCGTGCGTGCGTTTGCGTGCGTGCGTTTGCGTGCGTTTGCGTTTGCGTGCGTTTGCGTGTGCGTGTGCGTGTGCGTTTGCGTGTGCGTGTGCGTGTGCGTGTGCGTGTGCGTGTGCGTGTGCGTGTGCGTGTGCGTGTGCGTGTGCGTGTGCGTGTGCGTGTGCGTGTGCGTGTGCGTGTGCGCGTGCGCGTGCGCGTGCGCGTGCGCGGGCG